GTTACGGATCGGTATCTACCTGCGCCTACCGCAATGGCGACGGTAGGGTTCATTGCACCTTCTTTTGATGGAAAGGCCGAGTATGCTCCGCTGAAAGCGTTACGATACCCGAAGACTCGAGTTGTCACGGGCGCTACCCGCTGTCGCGGAACATAATGGACGCCATGTTAGGGAGAGAGCTCTGGCGACGAGGCTGGCATTGCGGCAATGAAGTGTGTTCTGGACGATAGTATGACGGTACTAGGTGTATCGGGCTAATGGAAACCAAAACCACCAAGATTCCGAACGTTTGTCGTGAATCGCTTGAAACCATTTCATCAGCATTCCGATCATCGCGAGTGGAGATACGTATCCGACCAACTCAGAACCCGGACGGACGAACGGCTCACGAGGTTGACACCGCGACGGGCTTACCTGGAGTGTAGCCGGATGGCAGCAGGGCCGACTTCCTCTGAGTTCTCACCAAGGAGGATCAACCGGTAGACAGCGAGCTCTGTGGAGTTGATCCCCGAGTTGAAGGCCCACTGCGGCGTCGCGTTAAGAATCGCGTCCTGACATGTCCGAGGAGCTCGCGACAACAATGGAATAAGACTGTTTCTTACCATTCAAGCATGGTACAACCTGAAGCGGCTGCCCAACCGCTTCGTTGCGTTCGGGCGTTAAACGAATGTTGCTGCGCCCAAAGTTCGGCATAGGAGGGCGATAGTGAGGCTAAGGTCGAACTTAGCGAGAGTCCTAAGGTGGACGAGATGGAGGCGCGCCCGAACGACTAATCTCTCAAGCTGCACACGAGGCTTGGTGTACACGCTGAGATTGATACGTTACGAATGGGCAGTTTACAGGTAAAGCGGCAGACAAGTTTCATTCGTAGACCTGGTCCAGTTCTCGGCGATGGTTTGCTTCGCGTGGTGGCGACGGGTAGAATAGGCGAATTTGCCTCAGGATATGAAACACCTATAATTCGTGCCGAAGAGGCACCCACGTCGCGACGCTCTATGATAAGGCCAGATACATAGGGATGTTAGGTCATCGGGCAGGAATCACATGTTGTCGAAGTTACGCCGAGACGAGCCTGGGTAATCAGGCGCCCCTCTGCTATAGAAGAATGATCTCAACATGCGTGCAGTGTAGAAATAGAGGTCTCCCTCGGGGAGCAAGAAAATAAGCGATCTACCCGAGGACCGCTAGTAACGCGATCAATCCACCATTCACGAACTGTCCGAGTAGACTGGCTTCGCGTCCGTACGAAGTTAAAACGAGGTCGTGTCAGTTGTAAGCCGCCATACGGCGTAACGTGTTTACCTGCCTCGCGATGCGCGGCGATTCATATTGAAAGTTGCGGCTTCGATGGATAACAGCCTCTTATATTAATGCTTTAAGGCGATCGTCGGCTCGCAGGGGTCAGGTGAAGCGGATGAATCGACAATGGTCAAAAACTTCTTTTTTTGGCCGGGCGGCGAGCGCCGAACCTGCGGGAGTCGATAAACGGTTTGAATCTGTTCAGATCCATAGCGCGATGCTTCAAGACTCGGAAAATATACTCCACCTCGTCCTATGTAAGTTTGTACCGTGCCGCTAAGAGATGGATAGGCGTTAGAAGGTTGAAGAATTTGTGCCATAGTTGGTTTTGAATGCCAAAGCAATACCCCTCTGCGGTTTTGCCAGTGTAAGTCTGTTTCGTGTAATTTTCGATGTCACGTAAAAAAAAAAAAATTTAGCCCAGCTATTGTGTATAGGCACGGAATTATGTGACGTGAGTTCGTGGTGTTTGGGTACGCTTGTCCCGGAGACAGACCATGATATTTTTGTGACGATATAGATGATATAGATTGTGTGCGTGATGATAATGTTTCGACGTCGATCTGGAAAATTATCGTTGTAGCCCCCTTAAAATTAGTTATTCGGGCTCACAAGAGGATAAGGTCGGTCAATTATAGGATATGAATTGAGGGGCGCGGAGTAATGTGAGCCGCAGAGCCTATTGCAACACTCTTTTCAGTATCATTGTGAATCCCAGCGGTGGCAGCACCTCCTGGTCCATACATGTCGCGATAGTGTTCTAGATATGGTTTGGGCCTGCGCGTGGAGAGCCAAGAAGTCGATCTGTGCGCGAAGGCCATGATGGTGTTGTTTGATAATTTGTGGACAATAGATTTCTCCAGAATGGCTCGAGCCTCCATAATGTTTTGTGAGTACAAGTTGGTCGTTTATGAGTTAACAGTGTATAGGTTTTGAAAAGAACGCTAGAGGCAGCGCACTCTAATTAAGTAAATTTATGTAATTTGTGTGAAGTAGGTTAATTCCCCAAATGGAATTTCAGCTCGTTAAGGCGCACTAGACTCTAGACCCTAAGCTCGTCGAAGAGTGCTGTAAATAAGAATTGTTGTATCACCACACTGTGGTGGCTTCCCCTGGTTGTTAGTAAGAGAGCTAAAGTTTGTTTGTTTTGTATTCAGTCAATCGTTTTAGTAGGATTAACACCATAAGGGGGGGGGGGGGGGGTCTGGTGACACCCTCAGGGAAACAGGAGATTTAGTTTTCTGTATTGGAGTCAACAGCACCTACAGGGAGGAAAATGCAGAATCTGCGGCACAAATCTAACGGCTTCGAACCTATAGGCTTGCGTGATAGTTGTGTAATAGCATCATTAAGTAGGAAAAGCCATCACTAGTGCCGAAATTTGAGGTCAGCAGTGTCAATAGTCATGGCACAGGGCATATTTTAGACATTTTCTGAGGACAATGGTCTGACGGAAGCGATTGAAAAACTTTTTTGTTTCAGCGCGTGACCTAAGCATTTTTGGCAATATTGAAAGGACGTATGAAATCTACTTTGGCTTGACATGCGAAGAGTAACGTTCAAAATTAACTTTTGACTCTCAAGAGAGGTTAAACAGGGCATTTGTTGACTGTCTGTTAGAACGAACTTGGATCTGCCGGGTTTGCTGAGTTAGAATCTGATACAGCCTGGATGTAGGTAGGCTACAATGTCACAGGTCAAACAGCGTAAATTCATGGTTAAGACAGGTTTATGCTCTTAAATCGTGATAAATTTCCATATGGCTTCGTGTACTGTCATATGTTACATGTACCTACTGCCACGTGCCGTGGCTTACTGCAGTGATGTGTTCATGGTACCTCGTGTAGTTTTCTTTGCCTGGTATAGATTGGTACAGGTGGGCAGCTTCTCTATTGCAGCGCTGCAGGCTTGCGTAGGTAAAGGAGTGAAGTGCGTTACCTAGTTCGTCTTGCAAATAGTTGTTGCTACTACGTCAATGAGGGAGCTTCCATCTTTAATCTGAAGACACTTAACGTACCGCATCTGTGGCAACTGTTCAATAATGATCCCAACGGAACATTCCTTTGAAGAAAGTTCCTGAATACCTTCCCTGTGCATTCCACTGTTTCGACGTGTATGTGAACACATTTGGGACTAACAGGGTTTACTAGAATCCCACCACTCCACCACAGAGTCACCGCAGTAGACGTTAGATGAGCGCTGTCGCTCTGCGGCACTTGTTTTTATACAGTCATGCATAATGTAGGCTCTAGTGCAGTAACGTTGTGTTAGTCGAAGAATTCACAGTCTTTCATATTGAACGAGTGGTGAAGCATTTTGTAGAAATCGTATTCGTATCACTATCAAGTAATCACTATCAGTATCAGTGCTAAGTCTGAAAACACTGAATTTTATTAAGTTAAGCTAGAATTTTAGTACTTGAAAAATAAAAATTGTCCTTGAAATGTCCTGGAAAACTCCTTGAATTTTGCCTTGACTTATCTGTATGCACCCTGCTTTAATCTTGGCCAGCAGTATTATACCCGAAAGAAACACATGGCTGATGAAGTATTCTTTTCTTATTCTTCCCACCAGGGCGCAGCACAACACGAGTACATCCTGCAGCCAGTGTCGGCACAGGCGAAGTTGCGGCGCAACTGCTCAGTTCTGCCGCTGCGTTCTCGGGTGACGCCGCGCATCACCTGTGACTTGGTTATGGACCGAATGCAGCTGAACATCGGGGAGCCACAGTACCGCAGCATGATCGCCTGGATGAAAGAGTACGACAGGTTCGAGCGATCGCGCCAGTATCGACGATGGCGCCCCGTCGTTAACGTGAAGGATAGGTATGAATGTTCATGTGTTTATGGGAGGTGGCACGTATGTCGTTTCCACGTGAAAGTAGATAAGCAAATAATTAACGATGTAGGTAGCTTATATCGGTGTACAAATAGCAAGATGCGATACTTAGCTAGAGGTAGTAGCAAGTCGGTTCATAGTGTGAAATCTATTATGTCTGATAGCAAAACATAGCCATACAACAAGTAGAAACTTGCTACGTGACATATAACTGAGGCTGTAAAAAGTACTGAGTAATGGATATTTGAACTCTAGCAACAAAACTTAAATAAATCCAAATTAATAATAGCGAGTGATTTACAGGGGAGTCAGATATTGTACATGGAGTCAATATGTCACAAACGAAGCCACCACCCTTTTAATTAAGTCATTTTTCTTCACGATATTCCAGTGCTGCCACTTGGTGGAAGTTCTGTATGACATCGGTGCTTCACACGATCACAAACAGGAATAGACGGTGCACGAAAAACTTTATGCTGCAGCGTGCCAGGACTAACGTGCAGTACGTGCATACATACGCTAATCAGCTGTCGGGCAAACAGACAGACACTTCTGGCCAGGTAACACATCATAATTATCGTCATTCTAATATGTTACATTCTGAAACTTTTTGCACGAGGCATCTCGTAAAATCTCTTATTGTAAATATGAGGTTATATTTACTCAGATATTATGGACTTGCTTTAATCATTTCATGCAGAAACTCATCGAGGATGTGGAAGCAGAGCTGACTTTCCAGGAGTTGAAGATTCTGCGGGAGCTTGCAATGAGCAAGGCGGCGCCACCTGTATCTGACCGGGTGAGCTGTCCAATCATGAGTGAGACTGATCGCTGCATCTACACAGACTAAATTTTATAGCATCCCCTTAGTGCCTATTATTATTATGATTATTATTATGGTTAATATATTAATAATAATAATATTCTTATTCTTCTTATTATTATCTTATCTGAACTATAGCAGGCATTTTTTTCCATGAAGGTTCCTTCCAACCAGCCACATAAATCACCAGCAGGTGACAGCAGGGGAGTGCTCAAGCGCTGGTTCCCAGGTTGGGGAGGCTGGTACAGCGCTGCAGAGCCTGAAGAATCTGCTCAGGCTACCGAAGAGACTTGCTGTGCTGCAGTGGAGATGCCAAATGACTCGTCACCACGTTCTGCCACAGGGTCACCACCTGTAAAACACCCAAAATTAGAAATAGGTAAATTTTAAATTGCTCAAGCCGTCAGCAAGTCATTGTTGACCAGTGTTTACACGTAGCAGTGCATGTTATGTTTCTTCTATGTTGAATGACGTTATTATTAAGATTAGGACTGTCTTATTATTTTCCAATCAGTCAGATCATGCTACAGTCATAAAATTCATGGAATTTATGGTTAGTTTAACAGTTAGTTTTGTTAGCATTTTCTAGGGGGAATAAAGGGGTTATGTTGCTGCTAGTGTTTGTGTTGTGATGGTGATGTCTACGTAACGTTAGTGTTTGCCTTGCAGAGGAGAGGTTCATGGATGTGATTGCAGACACAGCAGAAAACAACACATTGTTAAAGCGAGATTCTGTGTTCGCCAGACTCAATTTCCTGTTGAAGACGGGAACCTGCCAGCTGTCAGGTACTACACTTTAGTAATCCTACTTCCATACATAAGCAGCTCGTCATTCTCACCAGTGCAGCCCTCTAACAGTGTGGTCCTCGCTCCTGCCTATGTAAGTTCCTGCATGCCTCTTGCAGCAAGACACTCATATGACCCCACCACGCCTCGTGACAACACTGGTATAAACCTTTGTTTACTCCTCACCATGGTGTCTAGCTCGTTGTGTAATTGTCTAGTCTGTACCCTATGGTATAAAGTCTACTAAAGGTGACTACCTTAGAGACTATTATAGTGGTTCATATTGGCTTCAGTTGCTTACAGCATTTCTAAGCGTAGTTCCCTTCATTCAACATCTTATCATTGTGGTCTGCTGTCTCTTCGGGCGTGTTTGTGTGGTCGGATCCATGGATCTCGATCCACTGGATCGAACCCTTGACCAAACAAACGCAAACTCACTTTCAACGGTTCACGTTTCGCTGTGGCCTATCACGGGATGGTTCATAACAAAGAACAAGCTGTGATTGGCTGAGGCGCAGGCTGCCATATTGGATCCTGTTCGATTCCACCTCGCTAGCAGGGTCGGGTTCGGTGGATCGAGATCCGTGGATCCGACCAAACAAACAGTCAGATCAACGAATTCATTGGATCGAGATCCGTGAATCCGACCAAACAAACGCGTCCTTCGTTGCACTTGGTAATGTCCCGTTCCCTGATTCAAATAACAATGATTGTATCTGTTCACAGATGGCAGCAACACTATATTTGAGTTGGAGTTCTCTGAAGTACAGATGGAGTTTGAATCACGACCACGTTATAATTCATCAGAGATTCATATTACTCTGGGTGCCCTTTATCTGCGGGATATGTATACGCCAAATTCAAATTTTGGAACTCTTATTTCGCCAAACAAGTGGGCAAGTATTGTGTAGGTGAAGTCGGGTGTATAATATGTGGGTGAACGTGTCTTCCATGTGGTTTGAATAGGTTAAATAAAAATATCCATATTAATTGTATCCCCCGCGACGAAGTCGGCGGGGATACTATAGTTTCACGTCTGTCCAGCCGTCGCCGCCACCGCCGCAGACACTTTTCCTTCCCCTCTATAACTCGACCCTTAATTGACCTAGCGCGACCAAACTTCGTATACTTACACATCTTGGGGAGAAGGTGTGTCGCATACCAAAACCAGGTCACTGCGACCTTTATTTGACCTTGACCTTGATCATATTTCCCTTCCGCTCTATAACTCGGCCCCTAATTGACCTAGCGCGACCAACTTAGTATACTTACACATCTTGGGGAGAAGGTGTGTCGAGTACCAAAACCAGGTCACTGCATCCTTTATTTCACCTTCACCTTGAAATTGATCTTGTACCTCTTTGTACCTTGTATGTCCTTACGGGGATATTTCATTCATACTAGATTGCGGGGGATACATGTAGTTGGCGACAACTGCCATTTCTAGTTATCTTGAAGCCACACTATGCGCATCCAAACGCTAATTTCTCCAGTACTAGACTAGCAAATACTTTGTGTCATGCATAATCACACTACCTTATGACAAAATAAACTCTAGTTTCTCCCATTTCACTGCACGTTGTCTTATAAAAGGCATTTGAAAATACCTCCAATGTTGTTCAAATTCTCTGATGTTGTTGACACTTTCGCGTTGCTCTGCCAAGCAACCGTGGAGCGGTGCTGCGGTACAGCGGTACGGGTGTAGCAATGATAAAAACGTGATGTCACCTAACCGATTCTTGGCGAAATTGTTTGGCAAACAATTTAGCATTAACGCCAGATTACCAGATTTCGCACCGCTTTCTTGTGGGTTTTAAGCAAACGCGCACTGAAATGGGAGGAACTAGAATTTATTTTGCTATAAGGTAGTGTGATTATGCATGACACGAAGCATTTGCTAGTCTAGTACTGGAGAAATTAGTGTTTGGATGCGCATAGTGCGGCACCAATGTAATGAAACTATATGAAATTTCGCCCAAACCTGGATGTGCATTGAATTGTATAGTTTCGTAAAAATTATGGTAGGGTAAAGGATATGATACAGTAATTTCAATGTGAAAAATGGGAACAATAAAAATGGGTTCATTTTTCAAAAATTGTCTTTATATAAATTGTTTATCTTATAGTATACATATCAGGCATCTAACATGTTCTGTGTAAGTACTAACTTACTTGAATTACACAGCACATCTTACTTGTTTTCATAAACATGGTCTGAGTTCTCTTGCTGTGCAATTCTGCTTGTATTATCTAAATTACGGCCACATATATTTTTGTGTGAACATGGCATTGACTGCTATTTGCAGAATCTGACACAGCGAGAAGTGTCAAGGAAGTCTAGTCAGGACTTGAAGACGCCTGTTAAGGAAGTCAACCTACCGGCGCACACACTGAAGCTGCCGCAAGGGGATGTAGCTAATGACATGGCTGCTTTGTTTGAGTTGACGTTTGAGAAGAATCCATTGAATTCAACGGCTGACTATCGGTGAGAGGATAGTCTCACTGAGACTGGCGCTGTTACTCTGAGAGCTGTTTACATGCTGCACAGATGCAATTTACTCAGTTTTCAAAATTTAAAATGATTGTCATATAATCAGCGTCCGCCGAGTTCCTCGGGAAGAACAAATATACAGTATTTTGTGCGCGATTTCTTCTCTTTATCGCAAATTGACGTCCTCTTCTTGCAGGTTGGTCATGAAGACGACATCTTTGGACACCATCTATAATCCGGGTGCGATCAAGCGAATCCGTCAGTTCTTCAGGACGCGGTCATCAACGCGACAGTCAGCCCTGAAGCTCACTGAGGCCGCCAGGGTGCGCTACGAGCAGCTGAAGATGCAGACAAAAGCAGAACTGCAGCACACGTGGGAACAGCTGTTGGAGGGAGAGCAGTTGGTAAGGGTGGATGGGAGTAGACAGAGTGTATAAAGTATGGGATAAAACCAGCTTTTATTCTTTTCACTCGAAAGGGGGACATCACACTTTATATGTAACTACAGGTGAGGTAAAGTGAGCTATATTTTTTTTGCTTGAGGTGACATGTTGTATCTGTTACGATGTGACAGGATAGGATAGCTAGATCAGGATAGGTGTGATACTGTGTTTTTAAGGTACGAACCAAGCGATGGGATGCCCACCTGAATATCTCGGCACCCCAGATCATAGTCCCTGAAAGCTTCCAGGATCCAAACACAACTGTGGTGAGTTGTTATCATTGTTGTTTTTGTTTTCGTTACTAATGAAGCCTGTACACACGGTTGTAAATTTCGTCTGCTGGCCCGGGTCAGTAACTGCAATACTGAGACTAATTACTATAATCTGGTTAGTAAGCTGTGCAACATTGAGTCATTACTCTGACGTCAATCTGGTTAGTAAGCTGTGCAACATTGAGTCATTACTCTGACGTCAATCTGGTTAGTAAGCTGTGCAACATTGAGTCATTACTCTGACATCAATCTGGTTAGTAAGCTGTGCAACATTGAGTCATTACTCTGACGTCAATCTGGTTAGTAAGCTGTGCAACATTGAGTCATTACTCTGACATCCGTCATCTGGTTTATACCAGCCTGTGCCAACGATTGAGTTCTTACTCTGACTCAATCCTGGTTCGTACTGTGCGAACAATTGAAGCATTACTTCTGACAACTTCGCCAATCCTGGTTAGTAAGCTGGCGCAACAGTGAGTATTATATCTGGTCGTCCATTCTGGTTAGTATAGCTGTGCAACATATGAGGTCATGTACTGCTGCCATCAATCTGCCGTTCATCTAAGGCGTGGCAACATTGCAGTCATTATTTCTTCAATTTTGTTCTCTGAATCAATCTGGTTAGTAAGCTGTGGCAACATTGAGTCATTACTCTGACCGTCAACTCTGGTTTAGTTAAGCTGTCGGCACATTGAGTCAGTACT